ACCTAAAGAGCCCTCCTGCTCCTACCAGCCACCTGCAGGGCTACCTCAATAATGTAATAATGTATAACGTTTCCTTAATAAAGCAGGAAACAGTTTCTGCTTTGATATCCTTTATATCACACAGTGAAAATCATGGAACTCCCATTTGGGAGTTCAAGGCACTTCCAGAAATAACAAGGGCCAGGCCCTTAAACCTCATTCCAGCCCAATGCGGGTACTATTAGTATCCTTTTACAGATGAAAAAACTGAGGCACAAAGAAGCAAAACAACTTGTTCCAGATCAAACTTGTCCCAGTAGATGAGAGAACAAGATTTGAAGCCAGTCAGAGTCTGGCTTCGGGTCCATGAGGTCATGAGTCACTTTTCTCCAGAAGGCTTCCAAGAAGGGGAATGGGTGGGAGACAGAGAGGGAACAGTCAAGGGGAAGGAAGTGTGGAGGATGGCTGGACTGAGCAGGGTGTAGGCACCAGGACGGGCACGTGAACTCACTGGTAGTCAATGTCCACCAGGTGCACTTTGCATTCATCACCTCGTTTTAATCCTCACACTGGGTCCTGAGGAAAGGCACCCTCATTTTGCAAACTGGTTAAAAACCTCAAGAGATCAAGTCATCGGCTTGGTCACTTGGGTTGAGTAGGGGGCAGAGCTCTAGCTAACTATTAGACAGTGGAGTGTGAGTGGGGGAAATATCAGGGTATGTTGTTCTGAAAGCGTGGCACGGTTACACGCTACCGGAATGGGTGTGGTGTCCACGCACAGACAGGCGGAAGTGGGCCAGGACGCCAGTAAAGGACTTGGCAGTGTGGAGCTCTGCAGGGGCCATCCTATGGCATGAGGGCCAGGGGCATAATGCTCCAACTCTTCTGAGGGTGAGTACCTTACAGTCTGGGGGACACTTGCAATCACATTCTCATTGGGTCTGTGAATTTCGCCCCTTTTTGAAGCTGAATGGGTAGTGGGAGTTTGAACAGAAGCTGATGAGGCTCTTCTCAAAATTTACCACTTTAAGGGCACCTGGCTGGCTTAGTCTGTAGAGAGACTCTTTGAGTTTGAGCCCCATGTTGGATGTAGAGATTATTTATTATTATCTTATTTAAAATAAGATCTTGGAGCACTAGGGGCGCCTGGGTGGCTCAGTCGTTGAGCGTCTACCTTCGGCTCAGGTCATGATCCCGGGGTCCTGGGATTGAGCCCTGCATTGGGCTTCCTGCTCCACGGGAAGCCTGCTTGTCCCACTCCCCCTGCTTATCTCCCTCTCTCACTGTGTCTCTTTCAAATAAATAAGATCTTTAAAAAAAAAAAAAAGATCTTGGGACACCTGGGTGGCTCAGTTGGTTAAGCGTCTGCCTTTGGCTCAGGTCATGATCCCAGGGTCCTGGGATTGAGCCCCGCATTGGGCTCCCTGCTCAGTGGAGAGCCTGCTTCTCCCTCTCCCTCTGCTGCTCCCCCTGCGTGTGCTCTGTCGAATAAATAAAATCTTTAAAAAAAAAAATCTTAAAATATATATATGTATATATATTTATAGATACACATACAACCCTAACAAGTAAGATTTAAGGTTGATGCCTACAACACCCACACCTGTTTACTGAAAACCATATGCCATAAGGAAAGGGTATTTATCCGGAGCACCTGGGTGGCTCAGTTGGTTAAGCTTCTGACTTCAGCTTAGGTCATGATCTGAGGGTCCTGGGACAGAGGCCTCATGTCTGGCTCCACACTCAGCAGCAGTGCTTGTCCCTCTCCCTCTGCCACTTCCCCATTCGTGCTTGCACTAATAATAAAACATCTTAAAAAAAAAAAAGTTATGTATCAAGAGAGACCCAAAGGGGGAAGAAATGGAAATACCTGGGAAAAATTTCAGGGAAGTGTCATTTAAAATCTTTCAGCACATTAGGATTACCTCACTTAACAAAGGTGGCATTAACAAATTGGGTCAGGAATAGGTGGGAAGGCGGCTTCCTGGCTGATGCAACTAGTATGAACAGTCATGGAAATGGAAGAGTTTACATTTAATGTGCTGGGATCTGCCCAGGGCAGGCTATGGAAAGCAAAGCTGGGCTGATGGAACAGGCATCATGCCTTTGACAAGGCATCAGAAAGAGTTCATAGGTTGGGAAAACACTTACCTGGCCTCTCCTTAAGATGTGCAGGGCTATCCTAGCAACTGCAGCCAACACTGTTAGTGACTTCTTTTCCAGCCTTCCCTGCAGCTAAGGATGGCTACGTGACTTGATCTGACAAAGGAGACGTGAAGCTGGGAGTTTGTTCCTGACAGTCTCCTATGAGGATAGGCTGCCTTTACCCTCTTCTTGACTTCAATGCAGATGCAATGCTGGAACATCCTGTGACTGAGGACAAAAACCCAAATGCTAAGGACAGTGACATGGAAAATGGGAGTGGAGTCCCTGAAGGCATCCCTGAGCACTAGAACCAAGGCCAGCAGCTGCCTATGTGCCCACCTCTTAAGTGAGAGAAAAACAATCTTCGTTGATATCATGAATCCATTGTTTACTACTAGCAGCCAAATGTATTTTTTTTTTAAAGATTTGAGAGAAAGCATGCCAGTGAGTGAGGGGAGAGTCCCAAGCAGACTCTGTGAGGAGCCCGATGTGGGGCTCAATCCCATGACCCTGAGATCATGACCTGAGCAGAAACCAAGAGTCAGACGCTTAACCTACTGCGCCACCCAGACACCCCAAATGTATTCTTATTTAACACAGCAACATGGGGCCTGACCTGCCTCATAGCTATTCCTACTTTCCCATAAACCAATCACCAAGCAAGGAAAGTTCTCATTTCTTGAGATTTCTCCAAAGATGTATTGTCCTCAAGTACAACTAACAGGCCTTTTCCCACTTCACACTAACAAGACCCTGTGGGGTCCTCCAATTTATCAGGTCTGTGGACTCATTCTCCAAAAACTGTCTAGGACAAGCAATTCTGTTACCAACCTGCAGCATATAAGTGGGTCCCCCAGTGCTGCTGCTTGTCTGGGACTTGGGAATGCAGAGGCTACAGACTTGGACCAACACCAGTGAAGCTTAAGGGTCTTCCTCTCATCTGGAAATGGCTTTGAGAGGCCCATGGAAGCTAGGCCACTGTTTTCAGTATCTACCTAGAAAAAATTTACTCTGTAAAGACAAATTTTAAGAGTAATGTAGCTCTTAAAAGAGCAACAGAACCCCTATGTGCCCACCCATCCCATGTTTAATTGGAAAAAGAGGGTGCCTGGGTAACTCAGTTGGTTAAGCCTTCTGCCTTTGACTTGGGTCATGATCCCAGGGTCCTGGGATCGAGCCCCACATTGGGCTCCCTGCTCAGCGAGGAGCCTGCTTCTCCCTCTCCCTCTGCTTGCTGCTCCCCCTACTTATGTTCTCTGTCAATTAAATTCTTAAAAAAGTGGAAAAAGAAACTCCCCCCTTCTCTGAGTCCTTTGTGTGCAATGTCTATTACATCACAGATACCCTGTTCTAGTAGATATACCTATGTAAAGTGATTTCAGCAACAGAATAAGATCAAGTTTTGGGTAAATTATGTGCTTTGTTATCAAATACTTTCCTCTCCAGGCGTGAAAGTGAGGAACCATTCAGTCAGCTGGTGTGTCAGACTTCCCTATCTGAATGTGGTCTCCAAACTAGGGAACTGAAGAGATGTAGACAGCAAGGGACACTCCTAAATAGCAAGCTTTGATGAACCTACCAAACATGATCTCAACCAGGAGGTCACCCAATTTTTCTTTTTTTAAAAAAATATTTATTTAGGGGCCCCTAGGTCACTCAGTTGGTTAAACATCTGCCTTCAGCTCAGATCATGATCCTGGGGTCCTGGGATCAAGGCCTGCATCAGCTTCTCCCTCTCCCCCTCTGTCCCCGCCCCCATGCTCTAATAAATAAATAAAATCTTTTTTAAAAATGAAATTTGAGAGAGAGAGAACCTCAAGCAGACTCCCTGCTGAACATAGGGCCCGACCCCACGACCCTGAGATCATGACCTGAGCTGAAATCGAGTCAGACACCCAACCAAGTGACCCAGGTGCCCCTTTTTTTTAAAAAAATTTTTCTGGGGACACCTGGGTGGCTCAGTTGTTAAGTGTCTGCCTTTGGCTCAGGTTATGGGATTGCGCCCTGTGTGGGGCTCCCTGCTCACCAGGAAGTCGGCTTCTACCTCTCCCACTGCCCCTCCCCCCAATTCATGCTCTCTCCCTATCTCACATAAATAAAATCTTAAAAATTTTTTTTTTATTTTTTAAGGAATCTGTACACCCAACGTGGGGCTTGTACTCAAAACCTGAGATCAAGAGCTGATTGCTCCTCCAACCATGCTAGCCAGGTGCCCCGACCCAATTTTTCCAAAGAAAGTCTGTATTATGGCTTTTCCCCCTAAAGTTAATGTATTAACGCTATGGACAAATTTTGGCTGTGTTAATCCCACAACATATGTCTGTCTGTTCGAAAGCAGCTTTTTTTTTTTTTTTTAAATTCTTTAAGTAATCTCCACACCCAACGTGGGGCTCAAAGTCACAACCCCAAGATCAAGAGTCATGTGTTCTAACAACTGAGTCAGCCAGGCACCTGGGAAAGAAACAATTTTAAATTTTTGTTTATATCTGCAAAGAGGTTAACAATGAACCTTGAGCTCCTTGCTAACAGACTCTAGAACCAGTGCCTCTGCCTAGGGGTACAGGAGGATGAACATGACCACTGCCCTGAACCTGGTTTGTCTTCATTTGTAATCTTGAAGCAAGTGATTCCTATCAGACCAGTCATCTCTTCTTAAGCCAATTTAATGGCCCTATGGGTTCTATTATGCATTTTCTGGTCCTTTTAGTCATAACCAGGCAGAAAACACATCAACTTCCCCTCCTCTCTGCCCCCAGACCAGCTTCTGGATTGGCTACTCATCTACTGCTGACAGGTCTCTCAGGTTTTAAAACTTTACACAGATGCTAAAATTGTCCAACAGTTGCAAGAAAGACAAAATGTATTATACAAGACTGTTCTGATAAGACCATGTTTTAATTGCCTATGACATGGATACATCACATAATGGCTCAAAATGTAAGATTAAAGAAAAAGATGAAAACGAGTTTGTGAATCCTTAATTTTAAGTAAGCTTCTGGCAAAAACAAAACAAAACAAAACAAAAAAACCCCCAAAAGCCAGGGGTTAGAATCATTTCAAAATTGTGTCTTCAAAACTAGCACCTTTCACCATCTGCTTTTATTCATTTTGCTGTGATACAACTAAAAAGGCCCGTAAATACCCCCCTGGGTCTCAAGTAACAGTTTTCTGAGAGCAAAAATGTCACTTTCTCTGTGCAGTGAAAGCTGGCATTTGGATGGGCTGGATCGGGTGGACAGGCTGGAACACTGGCTTCTTTCTCATCTCAGACAGTGTTTTCACTGTGGGGAGCAGTTGATTCCTTTTGATGATCTGTAAGGCCAGCTGGGTATTACCTATAAAAACACTTCCCATTAAAAAAAAAAGCATAAACAATACCATGTGCAAAGCAAGCCATCAGCATCATGCAAGGGAAGTAAAAGAGGGTCTGGGAGAGCAGTGGTCTGCAACCTTTGCTACACACTGAAGCCACATCATGTCTCCGTCCCATCCCCAGAAATTCTGATTTAAGAGATCTGGGGTGTGACCTGGGCAAGGGGATTTTTAGGGGTGCCTGGGTGGCTCAGTCGTTAAGCGTCTGCCTTCGGTTCAGGTCGTGATCCCAAGGTCCTGGGATCGAGCCCCACATCGGGCTCCCTGCTCTGTGGGAAGCCTGCTTCTCCCTCTCCCACTCCCCTGCTGTGCTGTCTCTCTCTCTGTCAAATAAATAAATAAATAAAATCCTTAAAAAAAAAAGGGATTTTTAAAAGCTCTAAGGTTTTTCTTTTTTAAAGATTTTATTTATTTATTTGAGAGAGAGAGAATGAGAGAGAGCACATGAGAGGGGAGAGGGTCAGAGGGAGAAGCAGACTCCCTGC